GTACCAGATCATCGACATCAGCGACCCTGTGAAGACACACCAGGTGCCACCATTGAAAACACCCCAGAGGGTGCTGCCACCCCTTCCCCAGCTGCCAGGCCACCAAGCTGGGCCTGAGAGACCCCTGCCAGCCAACCCTTCACTGAGGTTCTCCCAGGTAACCATTGATTCTCTTCTATGTAATATTTACTCTTTGAGTGTCTGCAGAAATGAAGTGTTTTCTCATCTTTCCTGCTGCCCTTTTCCCACAGTATTTCCTTTATGATTTGTGTGAGTTTAGAACTGTGCTGTAGAAAAATTGCCTTGTGGCAAGTGGGGCTGTGATCCTAAAATTTTGGATGCTGAACTCTGCCTTCACCACTCAAAAGACAACAGAACAACACGTTAGAGGCAAACACGTCTGCAGCTGCCCAGGCAGAGGGGAGCTGCACAGTTTGTGAGGGAGCTGCCAAGCACAGAGAGGGGGTTTGGGCAGTCACGTTGCAGATGTGATGTGCAAGAGCAAAAGGTGTCTTAGCTTGATGTGTTTCTGCCCTGCCACGGGCTGCATGAAGCACAGTCTGTTTTTCCAGAGCACAGACACAAAGAATACTCTTTCATGCAGACCCACCTTTCATTGCATTGTTTAAGTAGAGATGGTAAATATTTTTTATTTTTGATCAAGATGCATCTGAGGGCGATAGACAGGGTAGAGGAAGCTGTCTGTGTTAAACAGTGCCTTTTCTTGTCACTGGCTGCTCCCTTTTGGTGGCACTTTGGAGTGACTGTTTCTAAGCAAAGCACCCAGGCTGTTCCTGATCTGGGTGTGCTATGAGGTTCAGATAAAGTGAATTAAAAGTTAAATTTAAAAAAAGTTAATTAAAAGTTAAAATAAAGTTGTTAACACCAGGCTCTCACCTACAAGAGCCCTGAGAGCTGCTTGAGACCCTTTCCTGTGCTGGATAGGAGGAGACAGCTCCGAGGCAGTGCTGGAGTGCAGGGCTCTGAAAGGGGATTGGGAAAATGTCAGAAACAGACAGGGATGAGAGAGGCTGCCCAGAGAAGTTGTCAGGGTGCCCAGAGCAGCTGTGGCTGCCCCTGGATCCCTGGCAGTGCCCAAGGCCAGGCTGGACAGGGCTTGGAGCACCTGGGACAGTGCAAGGTGTCCCTGCCCATTGTGGCAGCAAATAAAGTGTTTCTAGGTATAATTTTTCAAAGCCTGAACATTGTATCACTCAGGTTAGACCAACATTTACAAGTGCAATCTGTGTTTTATTTGCTTTTTTATCTTCCCTTTTCCATGTTCCCAGTCATTTTCCTTTTCAGAGGAGTAAGGAACACTGATTCTTTCTAAAATAAATTTTGTAGGGAGTCAGAAGCAATATTGATTCCTCTTGCTTGTCTTTAGCTCCAGTGGTCTCGTTGTTCATTTTCTTGTATTCTCTAACATTCTGCACAATTCACAGTGGTCATGGGGAAGATTTCAAGTGCAAGTGCTTTTCTGCTTCTTAAGCAGAATATGGATGGAGAAAAGGCTTTCCAAGGATAAGGAAAACGATCCATTTGTCATTCTCATGCTGCACCTGCCCCAGCCTCAGTGCACAGCCCAGTGCTCCCCTGGAGCTCATTTTCCTAAATCCTTGTGCTCCAAATGCCACTCAGAGTGCCAGGTGGAATACCAGACCTGCAGTGCTACCACTAGCAACCACTGACAGAGCTGAAACTGCCAAAAAGCCTCTCAGCTTGGCAGCTCAAATGCATTGTGACAGTTCCTTCATCAAGCAAAATATCATTTCACCATTTTCAGTCTCTGCATGCAACACAAACAGGGGATCAGCTCAAGGCAGCCTAAAGAATGAGCAAGAATGGATTCTTTCAAAATTCTATCATAATCTAAATATTGTGAGAAACAGCTACTTTTTATATCAGAAATACCAAAAAAAACACTGTGTGGGGAGAAAATCTTTCATTCCTAAGTTATTTTTTCCCTCAAATCTTGGAAGTAAATTAGCTTAAAAAGAGTTTGGGATAATAAATATAGATAGGACTTCATGTATTGCTTCAGCTCTCTCTGGAAGTACATCCAGAAGGTCAGCAAGAGGAAGGACTTGAAAAACCATTGCTACATGCAGGATGTCACCCAGATGCTCAGTGCTGCAGGATGGTGCTGTAAATTATATAAAATTTCCTTCAGTTGTAAGTAAAATAGTTAAAAAGCTAAGACAATACGAAATAAACCAAACCAATCAACCAAACAAAAAATCGTCAGCGCATTAGCTCTTGCCAAGTTTAATATTTAATTATCTTTTGACTGAAAAACTGCTTTTCCTTCCTTCAGATGCTCTTGCAAGGCAAACAGGCTTTATTTATGGGCCAGGTTCACAGTCAGGATAAATCAGCAGAGCCCCATGTGAATCAAGGGAACAGTGCAGGTTTATCCTGGCCATGGGTTCAGTCCAGACTTTTGGATTTGATCTCTTCCCCTCGATTTTGGTGCTTTCAGCATCCAGTTGCTGCCTCTGACACTCTCATCCTCTTGTTACCAAAATATATCTCGTATTTTACAGCTCATCCTAATGCCAGGAAATGGAACTTTTTTACTTCAAAATTTTACCACTTAAAAACGTGGTTTTACTTTTTCGTCAATAAAACTGAGCTGAGCTCAGCTGTGCCCCTTCTGCCCCAGTTATCCTGGGAATGTCTCTCCTGTGACACCTCAGCCTGGCTGTGGACACTGAGGGCTTTCACTTTCTTCTTTAAAAATCGGTGGAAAACCCCTGGAATTTCATGCACCTGGATGTCTTTGGAGCTGCTCAGTACAAGAACTGTGTTTTTCATTCCAGTATTTAAAATCCCACTTCCCCAGGCAGGGCCTGAATGCATTAAATGCCAGGTTGTGGATATGAAATGGACAAAGAAATCCATCCATAAACTCTTTGTGAGGAGGGGCTGAAGCTTTTAGGGAAGGAGTGGAGGAAGAGCAATGAGGGAGCAGAGCTGGGGTGGTGCCCTGAGCTGTGCTGCAGATTCCCACACATCAAAGGCTCTGCAGGGCCCCACACGAGCTGACACACAAAGTTTGGATTCTCCTGTGGCACAGAAAGAACAGAGAAGACCCTCCTGTAATCAGTCTGGGGATGGGATTTATTTCTTCACAGAGCTTTTCCTCTGTTCCTGGTGGTATCTCCTTTCTGTCAAGTGCTGCTCCATTTTGCTTCATCTCAGCCACCATTTATTCTCCAGCTCCATTTTTATCAGTTGCCTCCTTTTTTAATTATTTTCTTTCATTTACCCTTTCCTAGCAGCTTGCCACCACATTACAGTCTGTCAGAACACTTGGCTGCTTCCTCCTTAAGGATATTTTAACTTGAGGACATTTTGAGTGGGAAATGAATGAATAAATAAATCAGGATTTGGGCCTCTGTACCCATCAATACTAGTACTTGTTATGCAGAGAATTAAACAGAGGGTGGACATTATATGCAATTTTAAAATGTTGTTTGTGGCAAATTTGAACTTATTATATATGAGATTTACTTAAGCTCATGTATTTTCTTCTTATCAAAATGCCTGTGGATAATCAATCTGCATTTCCTTCTTGAAAGAGCAAATATTTGCCATGAAAAGTAAAAAAATAAAAGAATGCTCAAAACAAATAATAAAAAGTTGGACTTTATTCAGGAGCAATTCATGCTCTGATTGCTTGGATCACATCTTTCAAAGGATCTTTAATCAGATTATGCTTGTAAGCTCTTCTTGTTTCCTTTAACTTTACCAATGATACTTAACTAAAAATAAGGAATAAAATTCCTTGGGAAAAGCTTGGCTATGCAGCTCCAGTAGTAGGAAGATCTGAAGTGAGTTTGGGGATAAACTGGAGAGATTTGTGTGCCCTGAGCAAGGCACTTAATGTGTCCCAGCTCCCCAAAACAGCACAAACAGCCAAGTTTCCCTGTTTGCAGGGACCACCCAGAGGAGGCACTGACAGCAGATGACTCCTGTTCTTTATTAATGGAGCCTTTAATTCCTGAATGAAAGCACAGCAAAAAAAATCCACAGATGCTCCCAATCCAAACCAGACTGGGGCACTTTGGTTTTGTGGCCATCTGAATTTCCATTTTAAAGTCATGTCAGGCATTCCCACCTTTCTATAGAACTAATTCTACAAAGTTATGTGTTGAATCTTTGCTGTTTCCATTTACCACCAAGCATTGAGTCCAGTAGAGATGCACCCTGCATTTCTAGAGCAAGGAATCAAAAATCGTAAAATCATTAAAATATAGTATTAAATCTTTGGTTTAAAATTAGAGTGCCAGTTTAGGTTTAAATTAGATGTTAGAAAGAAACAGTGAGGGGGGATGAGGTGTCAGTTTTACCCAGAGTTGTGGCTCCCTCCTGGAAGTGTCCAAGGCCAGGTTGGATGGGGCTTGGAGCACCCTGGTGATGCCTTAAGTTTTAGCTTTCATGTTTTTCAGATCCTGTACTGCATTAGGATATAACTCTGAATTTCAAATAAAGTGTTAGCAAGTTCTCCTCACAGCTCAGGCACACAGAACAATCCTTTTCCAGCCCCAGAACCAAGGACACTGCTGCAGCTTCAGCCCCAAAAAGTGCAAACAACAGGGAATGGACAGGAGCAAATTTGGGAGGATGGGATTTCATAACCTGGAGCTGGAATGGGACAATTAACCCCAGTATGGAAATGGAGCAGAACTTGTAAAAGTGTGAAAATTTGTGACACACTGTCCATCTTGGGTTCATCTACAGTAGAAATTGAATCAATACTGTCTCCTATATTTTAGCAAAAGTACTGCACAAAGAAACTTGGATTAAACTCCTGGCTGTCCATTCCAGTCAGATATTCTGAAACCAACAACATTTCAACATTAACCCCATTATGGAAACAGACCAAAACTTATGTGTGAAACCTCGTGGCCCAGGGTCCATCTTGGGTTGAGCCATGGCCAGGCTCTTGTACTGCCCAGGGTGTATCCTGTGAAGGCCTTTTAATAAATCCCTGCTTTAACCCTTTAAATCCTTTATTCCTTTAACCTTTATTCTTTATTCCTTTAACCCTGTTCTCAGCAGCCTCCCAGGGCATCACTGGGACCATGGAAGGTGTCCCTGCCCATGGCAGGGGTGGCACTGGGTGGGCTTCAAGGTCCCTCCCAAGCCATCCCAGTGTGTGACTCCCCTGTTGTGTGGCTGTATGTGAGCTGTGGCTGTGTGGTGGAGGGTGTGATGTCCCTGTGAGGGCTGACAGGAGCTGGTGTTCCCCGCAGGAGCCCCCCAAGCCCAGCGCCCCTCGGAAGCCTCTCCCCGCGGACCCGCTAGGCCGCGCGCGCCAGGGCCCGGCCGGACGGCCCCGGGCTGTGCCCCACGCCAGCCCTGCCAGGTCAGTGCTCACCCTTGTGCCTCAGGATGGCAGCTCTGTGCTTTCCATCTGCTTGTAATCCTGTCATTCAGCAGTGTTTGACTCTAAACTCCATATACATGGGAGCTGCTGCTTCCCCATTTTGGGCAGACACAACAATTCCTCTCCAGGCCTGGTGATCAAGGACACCTCACTGCCTCAGGGCCCAGAGATGGGAACAAAAGTGAGTTTTGGGGGAAGAAAACTTGAGGTAAATTACTTCATTAACTGAAGCTGTGAGTGGAAGATTAACCCCCAATATGAAAACGGACCAAACTTTAAAAAGTGTAAAAACCTGTGACCCATCATCCGTTTCTGGGTGTAGTCACTGAGGGAGCTTCATCTGCCCAAAATGTACCTGAACACCCTTCAATAAATATAACCTCCTGAAGTTCCTTCAATAAACATAACCCCTTTTTATTCCCTTAATTTTCCCTTTTTCATGAAAGTATGAAAACCCGTGGCTCATTATCCATTTCTGGGTGTAGCCCCTGGGAGGCCTTGTCTGCCCAAAATGTATCTGAACACCCATCAGGAAATATAACCCCTTTTTATTCCCTTAAATTTGTCTAGCCTCTGTTTTTAGGTGGTCCCAAAAAGGTATCAATCCCAACACCTGGATTTTAGCACTTCAGAGCAACATGGCTAAAATGGCTCAAGGAGCTGCTGCAACAACCACTTCCAATATAATTTCCATCTCTAATTTTACTTATCATGCTGCTTCTCACTGGGAGTGCACCAGCACAGTTGCTCTGACTCCCCCAGAATATGAGGATTTATAATACCTGTGAAGGCTTGATGAAACACCTGGCTGCATATTTAAAACTAAAACTATTTAAAACCAAACAATAAATAATGAATTTCCTCCTCAGACCCCCCCCCATCTGAATTAGGCTAAGAACTGAGTACTGTTAAAATCAGCCACAAAAAAAGTGATTTCCTGATCACCCATTTCCTAAGGAAACATCAGTTGTAATCCTCTGAAAATGTTATCCAAAAGATTCAAAAAGCATAAAAATTGTGCACTTCAAAAATATAAAGTACATTTGAAAAAAATAATCAGAAAGTGGAATAACTACACCAATGTTAATGAGTTTAGTCAATGCTGTTTTCTTACCCAATATTCCTCAGTTTCCTGTGAGTAAAGTGAGCTCCAAGGAAGATAAAAGTGGTGTTTTAAGCTACAAGAATTCTACCAGTAAAGCACTTAAGTGCTCAGAAACATTAAAAATAGAACCAATATAGTTTCCTATATTTTAGCAAAAATACTGCACAGAGAAACTTTGATTAAACTCCTGGCTGTCCATTCTAGTCAGATATTCTGAAAGCAACAACATTTCAAGCTGACTCTTACAGATTTTGGGGGAATTCCACCTGGAATTCTGCAGCATTACTGACATTTTTGATCAGGTACAAAATGGATGAGCACCCAAAGAAATGGAGATTAAGTAACAATTTGCTGTTTTCTTTCTTTCCAACAGACCTGCTCCCAAACATCCACCACAGGTATCCAGGTCCAGCAACACTATGGATGTGAAATGAGGAGAAAACCTGACACCTTTATTTTAAAAAGTGAAGACAGAAGTTTGCACTATCTTCAACTCCAGCTGGAGTTCATTTCTATGACAATACTTAGAATTTTTAATGTTTAAAACAGCATTATTTTTAAGAATTCTGAGCTACTGCCTTTGGTGCTGTGCTGTGCTATGGTGCTCTGTATACTTGCTCAGGTACTTGTAAATTATTAATTTATGTTGAATATTTATTACAGTGCAGTGCACTGTAGTAGATATTTTTACCATAGCTGAGTTTTCCTAAAAAGGAAACCTTTTTTTTTTGTAATATTTCACTGAACTTGAATCATTCTGCTCTGTTGGTCCTATGTAGGTTTCTTAGTTTTGTTCTTTAAGGGGTGCTGATGCAGATCAATGAAATGTGTAAACAGCTCCATCTCAATGGTCCTTACCCAACTTCTGAGTAAATATGGCAGGGGGAAAAGACAAAATCTCTCCTGGAACTGGGTGAAAAGACAAAATCTCTCCTGGAACTGGGTGAAAAGACAAAATCTCTCCTGGAACTGGGTGAAATGCCCAGTACTGCACACAAGGTGTGACCTGTATGTAAGCAAAGGCTCACTCTGTGTCTGCAGTTGTACTGTAATCTCAATTTTCATGTTACTGTCTGAGATCTCCCAGAAATCTCTGTGCTGAAAGAGGATGTACCCACCTGGGAGAAGTCCTCTCACTGAAGAAGTACTGTATATCACCAAGCTGTGGTGGTTTTAACCTCATTTTCCTCAAACACAGCCTGCTCAGTCCATATTAACGCAGATATCAGGCCTCCCTGTGCCATCTCCTTTTTGATGCTTTGGTAATTAAATTCCACCACCTCATTGTTGTCCTGATTAGACTGGCAGTGCATTACACCCAGGGCTGGGGGGAAGCCAAGAATTACAAAGAATTACATTTAAAAATCAACTTTTATATTATTTCCTTTTGCCTCACTGCTCTGCTTATCACCTGTATTTTGCATATTTACTACTGTTTTGTATTAAACTTCTACAACGTTGCTCCAGGTTCCTTAATTCCCAAATCAAAATGTGTATTTTAATACATAGACTTGGATTATCCAAAAAAAAAGAAAAAGAAGTTCATCTCTGCTCTGTGATTACACCTGATCTCTTCTGTGCCTTCTCAGTAGCACTGCTGAACAGTTTCACCTGTAAAAACAGCAATTTTTAATTATCAGCTGAAGCAGAGGGAGAAGGGACTATCACCTTTCATGGTTTCCTCATTGCTTGTGGTTTTTGTTTCCTTAAGCAAAAATAAAAGCATTGATAGAAACTCACATCTGTGAGTGTCATTGTGTTTCATTTTCCCAGTTGTTCCCCCTCACAGCAACACAACCTTCATGTTTATTGCGAAACTGAACAAACCAAAATCAGCCCCAGCTCAGTTTGGTGCTCAATAGCAAAGGAAAAGCTTCACAAATTATTTCAATTCTTAAAGCAGCAACAGGGCTTTGTGTGTGGAGAATCACAACAGAAAGATGGGGGAACAAAAATGATCCTTTTTATATACTTTACTTATTTCTGTATTTAAAATACTAATTTTTTTATCTACAGTAGGAGGTACCTCCACATGAAGCAGCCACATGATCTCAGTTTGCTTTTTGAATGCTCCCAGTTTATCAGATTTCTTCTGCAAATTGCTGCAAACCACAAGGTGAAGCTGTGGGTAGTGAAAGGTGACTTGAAATGAGTAAAAAGTGTCTGTTATCAGCATCAGGAGATCTGAATTTTACAGGAGCAAGAGTTGGCACAAGTATAAACTCAAACATGACCAACCTAGGCAGGCTTTAAAATATAGAAAATAGAAATATCTACACAGGACACCCACATCATGTGTTAAATTTCTTAACTATTCCCACTAAAACAAGCACAGGTATCCAGGGACAGGGAATTTACTCCTACAGTTAAGAAGAACATATTATCTACCAGAATTACCATCTAAGACATGGCTAAACTTTGAGATTTCTTGATGTCTGGGGAAAAAAATCCCAATTCTGTATCTGAAACAAAGGTAGCAAAACCCAAAGATCCTGTAAAAACTAAAAAAAATATATATATATATATATATAAATATATAGAGATAAATATAAAAACACTAATAAAAGTTCTTACGGGGTGATTTTTTTATAACAAAATGTGTGTGAAATGTAGGCAACAGCCATAAAATGTGGAATCCTTCCAGTCAGCAATTTGCAAATTTTATATTTTTTTATATTTATTTCGTTTATTATTTATATTTTTATATTTATTTTATTACTTCTATTTCAAAGAACTCACAGAATGACTAGGTTGGAAGAGATCTTAAAAGATCGTCGAGTCCATCCCATGCCCTAACACCTCAACTAAACCAATATATTTATATTTATATTTATATTTATATTTATATTTATATTTATATTTATATTTATATTTATATTTATATTTATATTTATATTATCAGCTGCAAAATTCTACAGGCAGAAAGGGACCTGTGGCTTGGGTGGAAAGGGACAACAAACAACACCTGACAACAAGAGATGACAGCAAATGATCAATCAAATCCTTCTTTTCTTTTGGGCAATTTTACCAGTAGTAGCTGGTTTTACGTACTTTCCCACCTAATTAGTGCCTTCATGATTAGAAATGCAGATGGCAGGGAAAATTCCACTGTGGAGAGCAGGTGAATGGTTTTACATCTGTAAGCAAATAAATTCCTGTGGGATACAGCAGGGTGTGAAATCCAAGGTGTGCTCCTTGCACCAGCCCTGGCATAATAAATTCAGTCCTGTCATGATAAATTCCTCCACCCCCCTGCTCAGCAAATCACCTTTAATAATTAAAGGTTAATAATTTCTAAACCACCTTTAATAATTAAAGGTTACACCAACCTTTACATTCTCAGTACCTTATGGGTCTCAGTTTATCTTGGTGGGAGAGATTTTTTGGTGCTGATTCTTCCTTTCTGTCCTCTCCCACACCCCATTCCAGCCTCCCACCTCGGGAATGCTGCCACAGCCCCGCTCCCTTTCCAGAGGCAAGGCAGGAACAGTGTGCTCTCCCTAAAGCTGCCTTTATGCTAATCAATAGAACAGAAAGTACAAAGCACCAAAGAAAATTAATAAATAGGCAGTAAACAAAAGGAAAATTGCATATTTACCATCTTTCTCCCCATCAAGTCCCTTGGGTTTAGTATTCCCAGATTGTTTGTAAAAGCTAGCAATTATCAGGGTAGCAAGATTTAGCTCTTTTTAATTTCATGGAATATTTTAAAAGCCCTTTCAGAAGCTCAGAGTATAAAGAGATACAGAGCTTCCCCCTTTGTTTCAATTCTGGTTTCTTCTGATCATTTGAGTATGCAATATTCTCTTTTATTAACTTCCAATCAAATAACAGCAGTTTCCAATTTAACTGTAAATTACCATGTAACAGTAAACAAATTCATTCTTTATCTCACTCTGCAAAGCATCATTTTCTGAAGCCAGGAAGGCTGAAACTCGTTCTGCACAGGGACCATCCTTCCCCAGAACGAGACCACACAGAAACATCCCCTATAAATTACAGACACCTGCCCTTTTCACACAACACTTGTAAGAGAAATTAAAAACCTAGAGCACATTGAACATTCAGAACTCTTGGGATTCAGCTCATTCAGGAATTCATATCCAACATTATCATCGTCATCATCATGACAAAAGATACTTTTCACTTCCATGACCCTCTTTTATTTTTTAAGCAGTGTGCAAGATCATGTGTATCTGTAGAGGTGAGCAATACATTTTTCTGATTTACTTCAGGTCTTCACTCTTACATATTTAAATTTATTGTTTTTAATGTAGTTAGGAGGAATTGAGGAAGAGTCTGGAGCCCCAAGAGGGGCTGAGGAGCTGAGAAGGGGCTCAGCCTGGCAAAAAGGGGGATCAGGGGGGACCTGGTGGCTCTGCACAGCTCCTGCCAGGAGGGGACAGGGAACAAGGGACAAGAAATGGCCTCAAGTTGCAGCAGAGGATTTTTAGACTGGATATTGGGAAAAAAATTCTTCCCTTAATGAAGAAATGTAGAGAGAACGGCATCTTTCTGCCTGTGTGCTCTCAGGGCTGCAAGAACCCACAGCAAAAATTAAAAGTTCTGTCCAACAGATTGCCTTTTGTATGTGCCATATCTTACATTATGCTGGATTTGAGAAAAGGACTGCAATTTTTCTCATTTTTTTTAAAGCAACTTGAATTTTGTATTTCTCAGTGGTTTACTTTGCAATCTTGATGTTACTTGATATAAAGACCTCTAAAACTACTTTTTAAACCCCCAAACCATAACTTTCAGGAACTGAACTGAAAAAACATCAGATCATTTATATATTTAACATATATCGCTTGCTTTTATTTAGCAAATATACCAGATTATTTTACTGTTAAAACTGTAAATTACTATTCATTCCAAAAGCTAAAATATATCAATATACATTTTCTACAAAGATTTGTTAATTTAGCCTAATTTTCTGTAAGAATTTTAGATGCCTTAACAATCTGAACATATTTTTCACTTCTAAATTTGTTGCACAAGCAGCTCGTGATTTGAAGTAAAGAAGCATCTCCTTGGAAAATTTAAAAATGAGTATTAACAAAGATGATGATAATTTTTGTTTACTAAAGGGACAGTCATGAAAGCAAAAGAGGTCTTGAAGAAGAAAAGGAAACAGTAGAGAGGAAAAAAAAAAACAGTATTTAATTTCCAGCAGTTTTGTAATATCCTCAGGGGAATGCCAAAAAGTATTTTTGTTTATTTGAATTTCTTGCTTTACATCTAACTCTGTGTGCAAGAGGGTTTTGTAAGGGTTCAGTGTCTGTAAATCCCATGGATGCACTTAAATACAGGAGGAGATGCTGAAGGTGGGGCTGAGCTCCAAAATTTACAGGGCCAAGGACCCAGAAATCTGAATAATAGAGGTGAAACAGGCAAGTTACGGCATTTGGGGCCAAATATTCATGTTTGCACTCTCTTGATGGGAAAATCAAAAGTTATCTGAGGCATCATCTCCAAACTGGGGAACAGCAGTTTTTACTTAGTTTTTCTTTCTTGACTTCTAGGAAATTGTTCAAGCTCCAAATAAACAAAAATCACAACAAATCCAGAAGGAAATATGTTTTAAAACTAAACTCAGAGGCAGAAAACCTCTATATAGGGATTACTTATACCTACCTGTGAACACTTCCAGTCTTTTGTAATACTGGAAGGTAAAGAGAAAAGGAAAAAAACCCCACGAAAACAGAACCAATAAATTCTGGGTAACTCCTCCTGCAGCCCCAGCAGCACCACGTGGAAAAATCACCGTAAATCCTGTTTGAAAGGTGGGATCTCCATCCTACACCCATCTAATCCATGGAATTAAACCATCAAGTCAGGTTTTAGCAAAGCAACAAGGACCAAAGTGCTTGAATGGCCCTGCTGCTCCTTGCAGCCCACACAGGGATGCAAAGCAGGGCATTACACTGCTACAGAACCCATTAATTTCATTTTAGCACTAAGTAAAGCCCAGCAACATGGAAACAGCAACAAGTAAATGGTTTGGGAGAGTTTTTTAGGCAGTCTGCATGAGGTATACATATTTAAATTAAAATATAGGTCAGGGAGAGCTGAGAAAATTCATCCAACTCCTTGTTTATCACGAGCACAACTTTGGAGTGCATTAGGAATGTATGAAAATTGATTCATTCAATGAATACATTCAGTTTGTAGAATTTTTTTCCCTAAAAATGTGGTTTGGGCATATTTTGGATTGTCTCTTCCTCTCCAGTTACCTTTAAGCTATTACCTGTAATTACTAGCCAAAATAATAGCTCTGAAGACAGAAAATTGCGTGGATTTTAGTCAGCAGGGAGATTTTATAGAATTCCAACATTCAGTAAGGATTCAGTAAGGCATAACAAACTACAAGGCAATGGCTTTCATGTCATTTTTATGTTTTAAACTTTCTGGAGCTGAAATTTCCACTGTCAAGCAGGGCTGTCCTTCCCCACAGCCAGAGGGGAAAGTGCCTGGGCTCAGGGGTCTCTGTTTAAGCACTACCTGCCCCTAAAAAAGCACATTTCCTATTCAGTTGCCTTCAAGAAACTCACTAAAACCTTTGCCCTTCCACATCCAGCAAACCCTCTCTTCACATTTTCCCTCTTTATCATTTTTGGGTTGTTTGCCTTCCTTCCTTTCCTTCCTTCCTTTTGTCACATCCCCTTTGTGCTCTTGTGTTGTTGTGGCTCTCCCAGCCATCTTTATCTAAATCCCAAACCTAAAGGTGTTTACAGAG